CCGCCGCCTCCCTCCGCGTCGCCGCCGCCTCCCTCCGCGTCGCCACCGCCGCCGCCGCTGTCCGCGTCGCCGTCACCGCCTCCGCCGTCCGCCTCCCCCTCGCCACCGCCGCCGTCCGTCTCGCCGTTGCTGCCGCGCCCTCCGTCTCACCCCCGCCGCCGCCGCCGTCGGCCTCGCCCTCACCGCTGCCGCCGTCGTCCTCGCCGTCTCCGCCGCCGCCGTCGACCTCGCCCTCGCCGCCGCCATCCTCCGCCTCGCCGCCGCCGCCGCCTCCATCCGCCTCGCCGTCGCCTCCCCCTCGCCTTCGCCGCTACTTGCTCGTATTTTAGGTGCGTCCACGCCTCGCACACCACCTTCCGGCATGGCCCCAGACGCTTGGTTTCGTCCTCATCTCCTCGCCCCTGCCCCGCCCCCCTTCAGGCGAGGCCCTGGCGACTCACCTCGTGCTATGGTCACCGGGAATGGGCAGCTGCGCCACGCTCTTCGAGAGCGATCGGCGGCGGCGGCTCGTTTTCCGCACGCGTACGGCGGCCTGCTGCCGGCGCGGCCCGGCACTTCGGGAATTTATTTTGAGTACTTGTGTAAACTCGTGACGCTTGTGGGGCTGGTATGCTGTTTTCCGGGGGCGTTCGGGGCGGCGGAGTATTTTTTTGTGTGCGCGGGCGGCCAGGGGCGGCCCCTGGGGACCAAATCGATTTTTTAAAATCGAACACACGCGGTTTCCCAGGCGCCATCACCGGCACGGCCGCCGCCGCCCGTGCGGCACCCGCGGCACCTCCCGCCCCCCCTGGCGATGCTGGCCGCTACCCCGCCGCCGTAGCTACCCTCCCCACCGCTGGTGCACCGCCTCCGCCGCCCCCCTCGGCGCTTCGCCCGTGATTTTGCCGCCTCCTCCTCCACCACCACCCGTCTAAGCTTCCGCCCGCCTTCTCGCCACCGCCGTCCGCGCCACCTCAGCCGCCCTCCCCGGCGCTGCACCGGCGCAGCAGTGCCGTCGGCGCCGCCGCCCGTGCCGCCTCGGCCTCTGCGCCTCCAACCTCGCCGCTTCCGCAGCGGTTCCGCCCTCGGCGCCTCCACCTCTCACCCGCCAGGTCGAACTTCCGCCGACGATGGTGCCACCGCTGCCGCCCCCCCCGCTCGAGCCTCGGCCGCCGCACCCCGCCGTCCGCGCCCCGCCGCCACCCCCTCCGTCACGGCACACGCCGGCACCACCGCTACCACCGCTGGCTCCGCCCTAGACGCCGCCGACCGCTCGCAAGAGCGGCGAGCCCGGGGCCGACACCCCTCTGTTAGGTGACGGTCGACGGCTCCTTTCGAGGCTTTGTGGCCTTTTAAGAGGGCACCAGCAGCTTGGGGGGTGCGCGCTGGATGGCCGGCGCGGTGGAGCAGCGGCGCGGAGCCGGGGGTTCGACGTGCGGCCGTCGGTGGCGCGACACGCGGCCTCCAGCGGCGATTCGCCGCGGCTCCGGCGGTGCGATTTTTGTGCGTTTTCGAAGGCTGTGGGCGGGATAGGGCTGGCTAGACCGGCCCTGGTGTGCCCTAGTGTGTTCCCTTACACCCCTGGCCCGGGCGCAGTAGCGCGGTGCGCGTCCCGAGGGCGTAGGGGCTCAAAAAACAATTGATTGTTTTTTCAGCCACTTAGAGCACACAGTGGGCGTGCACTTTGCGCGCGAGTTCGCGCGGCACCGCCTCCGACGCGTGGTGTTCGTGGGGGCCCCGCGGCGACAGCCGGGCAGGCCTCTCGCGACGGCCGATGGCGACTGGCCGGCGCTCTCGGCGGGCGAGTTTGCGGCGCACGCGCTGCGCGTAGGCGGTGCGTGGGCGGGTGGCCCGCCCGGCCGATGAGCACCGGACGCGAGGGTCGGTCGGCTCCTAACTAACTAGCTGTATATAGTCGCGATTTGCCGGCGTGGCGCGTGCGTATGAGCTCACTAGCTAGAGCTCACACTAGAGGCCGCGTCATCGCCATTCGCCTTCCTGGTACCCAGCGCTGACTTCTGACTGGGTCGTTGCTGTATGCTGTCTCTCCCTTCTCGACTGTCTGTGGACTGTGCTTGCTTGCAGCCTTGGGTCCGGGGTTGTGTTTTTGTGTGCAACTGAGTTCGCGAAACCCATCTCCGCGCTTCCCAGACGCCGCCATGGGCGCCAAACCCCTCTCTCCTCTGTCTCTCTCCGCGCTCACACATCGGGCCCCAACCACCGCACCCGCGCCTCCTCATCAAAAGTTACTTCTTGTCCTCTGCCACTCTCCACCTTCGGCAAACTCGGCCCTAAACCTCGGCGAGCGATACCACCTGTGGCGGCGAAGGAGGGGCTTAGCCAGATGCCTAGGCGACCTCCCTCCCTGCTCCTCGTGCGCACTCGATGAAGCGATGGAGGCCCATCTCGATGGACGTGCTCGGCGAATAGCCCAATCGCTCTCGCGCGTGGCTGACGTCGGCATAGGTCGCGGACACGTCGCCCGGCGCCATCTCGACCATCGTGCGATTGGCCTACAAAGAGCGGAGGCGTGTGACGAAGCGGCCCAAGACGCCAACCGGCGCGGACGCGGCAGGCGAGCCTTGACGCCGAGCTCGGACTCGAGCACCTGCGCCACACGGGTTAGGGTTAGGGTTAGGGTTAGGGTTAGGGACTCGAGCACCTGCGCCACACGGGCGCCGACCGTCGGCACCGCCACCCACCGCACTCTCTCCCCCCCCCCCTCCGCTCCGGAGTCGCCAGTCCGGTCGTGTGCTGTCTTCTGGCTTTTTCTGTTTTCGTCTCGTCCCCCTTTTTCCTCTTTTTTTTTCTCCGCTTTTCTTCCCCCCCCTCC